ATATACTAATGAATTAATATATTGACATCATATGCTATATGTTAAGATATATGCATGTGAATTAATGTATTATACATACACACATATATGTGCATATAATACATACATACATACATATAATATGCATTTATTCACCAAATCCATTTGGGGGAAATTTGGGAAAGGGCCAGGACAAATCCACACCTAAGACTGTTTATATATACTCAGGAAATTAAATTAAAATTAATTAAAATACCCCAAAAGCCAACGTCCGAATCCTCTCGCAAGCTCTTCTTTCCAAAATGGAAAAGAAAACAATAAAGCACAATCTGAACATCTTAGATATTATTGTTATTATTATTATTTGCAAAGCAATGCCTTAAAATTTGAGACTGACTCCTCGCCTTCGACGGTTGGTATTATTCTGTTCACATGACTTTGAATAAATTTTGGAAAAAAAACAAGTTGTCTTTTTAACATTCCTTGTCTGGTCTTCAAAGGACACCGATGTGCTCAGACCTCGTTTGGAATAACATAATACATACCAAAACAATGCAACTTCGCACAATGGAAAGGTCTTAAATTAAATATATTAAAAATTGGGGGGGAAAAATCAATTTTACATTAAATTATTTATTTATCGAAGCCCTCGGAGGCGCAGTGGGTTAAACCCTTGTTCTGGCAGGATTGAAGATGACAGGTTCAAGGTTCAAATCCAGGGAGAGCGTGGATGAGCTCCCTCTGTCAGCTCCTGCTCCCCATGTGGGGACATGAGAGAAGCCTCCCACAAGGACGGTCAAACATCAAAACATCTGGGCAATGTCCCTGCCAGTCAACCGACAAGTTGGAGGTTTGAATCCGGGAAGAGCATGGATGAGCTCCCTCTGTCAGCTCCAGCTCCCCATGCGGGGACATGAGAGAAGCCTCCCACAAGGACGGTCAAACATCAAAACATCTGGGCAATGTCCCTGCCAGTCAACCGACAAGTTGGAGGTTTGAATCCGGGAAGAGCATGGATGAGCTCCCTCTGTCAGCTCCAGCTCCCCATGCGGGACATGAGAGAAGCCTCCCACAAGGACGGTCAAACATCAAAACTCCAGGCAATGTCCTGCCAGTCAACCACAAGTTAGGAGGTATATGAAAATACCTGAAGAGGCATGGATGAGGCTCTTTGTGGCATGGAGGTGGCAAACTGGCATAGAAGTGGGACTCTCACCTTTGGTGATGGAGTCCCCGGTGGTGCAATGGTTTAAACCCTTGTGCCAGCAGGACTGCTGACCGACAGGTCAGAGGTTTGAATCTGGGGAGAGCGGATTGAGCTCCTTCTGTCAGCTCCAACTCCCCATGCAGGGACATTAGAGAAGCCTCCCACAAGGATGGTAAAACATCAAACATCTCACCATCCCCTGGGCAATGTCAATTCTCTCATACCAGAAGCGACTTGCAGTTTCTTAAGTCACTCTTGACAGCTCCAGCTCCCCATGCAGGGACATGAGAGAAGCCTCCCACAAGGACGGTCAAACATCAAAACATCCGGGCAATGTCCCTGCCAGTCAACCGACAAGTTGGAGGTTTGAATCCGGGAAGAGCATGGATGAGCTCCCTCTGTCAGCTCCAGCTCCCCATGCGGGGACATGAGAGAAGCCTCCCACAAGGACGGTCAAACATCAAAACATCTGGGCAATGTCCCTGCCAGTCAACCGACAAGTTGGAGGTTTGAATCCGGGAAGAGCATGGATGAGCTCCCTCTGTCAGCTCCAGCTCCCCATGCAGGGACATGAGAGAAGCCTCCCACAAGGACGGTCAAACATCAAAACATCCGGGCAATGTCCCTGCCAGTCAACCGACAAGTTGGAGGTTTGAATCCGGGAAGAGCATGGATGAGCTCCCTCTGTCAGCTCCAGCTCCCCATGCAGGGACATGAGAGAAGCCTCCCACAAGGACGGTCAAACATCAAAACATCCGGGCAACGTCCCTGCCAGTCAACCATCAAAACATCCGGGCAATGTCCCTTGGGCAACCTCCTTGCAGATGGGCAATTCTCTCACACCAGAAGCAACTTGCAGTTTCGATCCTGACACGGGAAAATAAAAAAAAATCATATCAGAAGTAAACAAAGGGTACAGACATTTATTTATTTATGACATTTATATGCTGCCCTTCTCACCCTGAAGGGGACTCAAAGTGGCTTGCAAGTGATATGTAAATACAATATATTATGTTATTATCATAGCACAATATTAGTATTATGTATTACTATATTGTGCTATACCATTATACTGTAATAAATAACAAATAAATATTCTTAGTAATATTACATGTATTGTAATTTATATAATTATAATATCAAATTATTATTATATTGTATCACATAATAATATCAATATTATATGTATACACAATTATATTATATTATTAGTACAGTGTGGGAGACATGGTGGAACTGTCTTCCTGGCCCCTTCTGTAATTGGTTAAATGGACGAACCCAGAGAGCGATTCTCCCCAAGGCTTCCTCTTTATCCTGGAAAGAAGTGACAAGTGGAGTGCCGCAGGGTTCCGTCCTGGGCCCGGTCCTGTTCAACATCTTTATTAATGACTTAGATGAAGGGCTAGAAGGCAGGATCATCAAGTTTGCAGACGACACCAAATTGGGAGGGATAGCCAATACTCCAGAGGACAGGAGCAGGATTCAAAACGATCTTGACAGATTAGAGAGATGGGCCAAAACTAACAAAATGAAGTTCAACAGTGACAAATGCAAGATACTCCACTTTGGCAGGAAAAACTAAATGCAAAGATACAGAATGGGGACGATGCCTGGCTCGAGAGCAGTACGTGTGAAAAAGATCTTGGAGTCCTCGTGGACAACAAGTTAAACATGAGCCAACAATGTGATGTGGCGGCAAAAAAAGCCAATGGGATTTTGGCCTGCATCAAGAGGAGCCTAGTGCCTAGATCTAGGGAAGTCATGCTCCCCATGCTCTATTCCGCTTTGGTTAGACCACACCTGGAATATTGTGTCCAATTCTGGGCACCACAATTGAAGAGAGATATTGACAAGCTGGAATGTGTCCAGAGGAGGGTGACTAAAATGATCAAGGTCTGGAGAACAAGCCCTATGAGGAGCGGCTTAAGGAGCTGGGCATGTTTAGCCTGAAGAAGAGAAGGCTGAGAGGAGATATGATAGCCATGTATAAATATTTGAGAGGAAGCCACAGGGAGGAGGGAGCAAGCTTGTTTTCTGCTTCCCTGGAGACTAGGACGGAACAATGGCTTCAAACTACAAGAGAGGAGATTCCATCTGAACATGAGGAAGAACTTCCTGACTGTAAGAGCCGTTCAGCAGTGGAACTCTCTGCCCCGGAGTGTGGTGGAGGCTCCTTCTTTGGAAGCTTTTAAACAGAGGCTGGATGGCCATCTGTCAGGGGTGCTTTGAATGCAATATTCCTGCTTCTTGGCAGAATGGGGTTGGACTGGATGGCCCAGGAGGTCTCTTCCAACTCTTTGATTCTAGGATTCAATGATCATAGCACAATATTAGTATTATGTATTACTATATTGTACTATACCATTATACTGTAATATTATTTGTAATATTATCTGTAATGTAATTTATAATTATAATATTGTATCACATAATAATATCAATATTATATGTATACACATATTATATTATATTATATTATATTATATTATATTATATTATATTATATTATATTATATTATATTATATTATATTATTAGGACAGTGCAGGAGACATGGTGGAACTCTCTTCCTGGCCCCTTCTCTTCACTCTGGTCCCAGAGCAGCAGTTGTAATATATTTACAAAACAAAAAGTTTTAAAAACTTGGCTTTGTACTAAATGTCCTTTGAGTGGTAGCTGGCCGCTTGGAGTGCCTCAGGCGTTGCTATACTTACTTACTTAGGCGATCCCTCGTAGGATAGTCTTCCAAGATCAGTGTTCTGTCGGTGGGTCCGTAGGTGACTGTGGAGCCCTATTCTTGACCTGCATCTTCTCCCACAGTGAGGACATCGGTTTCCAGGTGGAAGGCGGTCCCAGTCGGGGTTGGCTTGATGTGCCTTCCTCTTGGCATGTTTCTCTCTTTCTCCCTCCATTCATGCCTCTTCAAATTCTGCAGCACTGCTGGGCACAGCTGACCTTCAACTGGTGTGCTCAAGGGCCAGGGCTTCCCAGTTCTCAGTGTCTATGCCACAGTTTTTAAGGCTGGCTTTGAGCCCATCTTTAAATCTCTTTTCCTGTCCACCAATATTTCCATTCTTGAGTTTGGAATAGAGCAACTGCTTTGGGAGACGGTGGTCTGGCATCCGGACAATATGGCCAGTCCAGCGGAATTGATGGCGGATGCCATCGCTTCAGTGCTGGTGGTCTTTGCTTCTTCCAGCACGCTGGCATTCGTCCGCTTGTCTTCCCAAGAGATTTTCAGGAATTTCTGGAGGCGTCATAGATGAAACTCTAAATTATTAAATTATTAAAAATACATTAAAACTTATGTACATAAAACCCAAGTTTGTAGCAAAAAGTCTGTCTCAGCCACAATTTTGGAGTCTTTCAATTATTTGGAATTTTGGACAACTTGTCATAAGATATTTATATTTTTTATAAATTTATTTTTAAAAAATATTTTCATACAAATATATAAATTAATTGTTTTTGTTGTGAACATTTTTAATTGTTTTGGAAGTTGCCTTTGGGAGATGGCAGCCTATATAGGCAATAGAATAAATAAATAAAATAGATAAAATACTAAAAAAAATAATTACAATATTATATAAAGCAAAGTTGCAATCAAAAGATGCAAATTTATCAATGATAAAAAAATTTCCCAAAGTTTGGAGGCTGGAAAAGATTCAAACTTTGGACGCTGCTCTTCTTAATCTGGCCGGTAGGTGGCGGTGCTGCCTTAGGAAAAGAAGGCGAAAACCCAGGCGGGCGGGCTCCTCCCACTTCGAATGAAATCACTCGCTAGGAATCGCCTTTGCGCATGCGCTCACGTCATTTTGTGGTTCTCTGCCTGAACCGGGGAGCAGAGTCTACGCGGGCGGCAAAAATCCCTTCTCTTCTTTCAGGTTATACAGCCTCCTAAGTTTCCCAAAGCAACCAAACTTGCAACCTTGTATTGCATGGAAGGAATCAATTATTGCAACAAACAGTACTTTCTGCATTGCATAACTAAAGCAGTTTCATCTCACTTTAGCAGTCCTGGGATTTGTAGTTTCTTGAGGGTGGGATGTGGAACTATTTAAATTGCAACCTCCAAAGACAGGTCAGGATTTATGTTTCGGGATTGTTTTGGGAACTATCTGAACTTCAATCCCCCAAAGACAGGTTCAGGAAGTGCACCTACACTGTAGAATTAATGCGGTTTGATACCACTTGGATGCAGTGGAGCCCTGGGAGTTGTAGTTTTGCAAGGTCTGCTTCTCCTCAAACTGCAAATGCCATTGCATTGTACCATTGCAAAGTGAGAATTGTAGTTTTACACTGTCATTGGAATAGACTATATATATATAATAATAGTAATATATGTTTATAATTATAATTATATGGGACTTGTAGTTTTGCAAGGTCTGCTTCTCCTCAAACTATAAATGCCATTGCATTCCACCGTTGCAAAGTGAGAATTGTACTTTTGCACTGTCATTGGAATAGACTATATAATAATAATAATAATAATAATAATAATAATAATAATAATAATAATAATGTATTTATAATTATATGGGAGTTGTAGTTTTGCAAGGCCTGCTTCTCCTCAAACTATAAATGCCATTGCATTGCACCATTGCAAAGTGAGAATTGTACTTTTGAAGGGAACTATAGGCAACTATAGGCAAATGTGGTGAATCTTAAAAAAGACAATTAGTCTCCATGAGGTTTGAAGCAAAAATCTCTTTTTATTTCAAGTGCGGCCGCACTGAGACAGGAGCAACTAGACAATCAGATGTCTATCAAAAAGGTTGCCTGTGCCATCTGATCTTTTCAATCTGATTCTTATACCCTTCTTCTACACTGTCATTGGAATGAACTATATATATAATAGTAATATATACATACATATGTGTGTGTGTAGTATTATTATATGGGAGTTGTAGTTTTGCAAGGTCTGCTTCTCCTCAAACTACAAATGACATTGCATTGTACCATTGCAAAGTGAGAATTGTATTTTTAAACTGCCATTGAAATAAGCTATATATATAATAATAGTAATATATAAATACATACATGTGTGTGTGTAGTATTATTATATGGGAGTTGTAGTTTTGCAAGGTCTGCTTTTCCTCAAACTAAATGCCATTGCATTGCACCGTTGCAAAGTGAGAATTGTAGTTTTACACTATCATTGGAATAAACTATATATATAATAATAGTAATATATAAATACATATATATGTGTGTAGTAGTAGTGGTAGTAGTATATGGGAGTTGTAGTTTTGCAAGGTCCGCTTCTCCTCAAACTATAAATGCCATTGCATTGCACCATTGCAAACTGGGAAATGTACTTTCACACTGTCATTAGAATAAACTATATATATAATAATAGTAATATATAAATGCATATATATGTGTGTGTGTAGTATTATTATATGGGAGTTGTAGGTTTGCAAGGCCTGCTTCTCCTCAAACTATAAATGCCATTGCATTGCACTGTTGCAAAGTGAGAATTGTACTTTTACACTGTCATTGGAATAAACTATATATAATAATAATTGTAATATATAAATACATATATGTGTGTGTGTGTGTAGTATTCTTATATGGGAGTTGTAGTTTTGCAAGGTCTGCTGCTCCACAAACCATAAATGCCATTGCATTGCAAAGTGAGAATTGTACTTTTACACTGTCATTGGAATAAGCTATATATATAATAATAGTAATATATACATACATATGTGTGTGTGTAGTATTATTATATGGGAGTTGTAGTTTTGCAAGGCCTGCTTCTCCTCAAACTATAAATGCCATTGCATTGCATCGTTGCAAAGTGAGAATTGTATATTTACACTGTTATATATATATTATATATTATAATATATATAATCTAATATATAATACAATATAAATTACATATATTATAGTATATATTATTGTAATATATATATATTATATAAATATATAATAATTATTTTTATATAATCCATTACTATTTGTATTCTGCTTTCCTCCCTTCAACGAGACACAAAGTGGCTTGCAACGCTACAAATTTAAAAAATGTTTTAAACTGCAACATAGATACAAAACATTGGATGTAGAATTGTTAAATAGTTTCAAATCAGCTGAAAACGATAAATAATAGTTTTGTAAAACTCTTCCCATCAGCTTGCAAAGGGTGCAGAAGTGGGTCTGGTCACATGACCTGAGAACTCAAGCCATATAACTCACCAATTGCTGCCTTTTCCAAACTGGACTTTCACCCCAAACTGGGAAGCGCTGGGAAATAAAGGAAGAAGAGTTGCTGCCAATTAAAAGGTAGGCTCCCATTAAGATTTTTGTGTCACATTTTCCTTAATGCACAAAAAGGGGCCACTGCTTTTTTGCACTGTTTGGGTGCCAAATCCGTGCCAATTTCCTTTCACTGGCACTTTGTGCAAAATAATTAGACCGTGAGAATTGCTAAGTGTGTCTCTCATATCTAGGCGGATACGTTCCTCCTAGATAATAGTGAACCTATTAGTTTCAATGGGACAAATGGAACCGTTAATGGGTGAGTATCCTTTATGCAAAATGCTTGGAACCACGAGTATTTTGCATGTTTGCATATACACATTTGCACATATTTGTATCATGACATACAGGTTAATTATCCCTTATACAAAATGCTTGGGGCCAGAGCCATTAAGAGAGGTGGGTAGCAAACAAAAATTATTATTATTATTATTATTATTATTATTATTATTATTATTATAGAATCATAGAATCAAAGAGTTGGAAGAGACCTCATGGGCCATCCAGTCCAACCCCATTCTGCCAAGAAGCAGGAATATTGCATTCAAATCTCCCCTGACAGATGGCCATCCAGGAAGTTCTTCCTTGTGTTCAGATGGAATCTCCTCTCTTGTAGTTTGAAGCCATTGTTCCATTGCGTCCTAGTCTCCAGGAAAGCAGAAAACAAGCTTGCTCCCTCCTCCCTGTGACTTCCTCTCACATATTTATACATGGATCATTTATACATGGATTATTATTATTATTATCATTATTATTATTATCATTATTATTATTATTACCATCATCATTATTGCAATCATCACCACCATCATGGATTTAAGATTATTATTTTGGAATTTGGAATACCTGTATTTGCATCTACCCAACATAATGAGAGGCCCATAATGGGGTTTCAATTAGTTTTTTTTTTTAAAATTGGCAGCCTCTGAAAATGATTTGGCTCCTAAAAGTAATCTAATCTCTTTAATTTTGGGGCCATAAAGGAAATGATTGACAACTGGGAAATAGAGGGAGAAAACGTGGAGGCCGTGACAGACTTTGTATTTCTAGGTGGGAAGATGAGTGCAGATGCAGACTGTGGCCAGGAAATCAGAAGACGCTTCCTTCTTGGGAGGAGAGCAATGTCCAGTCTCGATAAAATAGTAAAGAGTAGAGACATCACACTGGCAACAAAGATCCGCCTAGTCAAAGCCATGGTATTCCCTGTAGTCACCTACGGATGTGAGAGCTGGACCTTAGGGAAGGCTGAGCGAAGGAAGAGAGATGCTTTTGAGCTGTGGTGTTGGAGGAAAGTGCTGAGAGTGCTTTGGACTGTGAGAAGATCCAACCAGTCCATCCTCCAGGAAATAAAGCCCGGCTGCTCACTGGAGGGAAGGAGACTAGAGACAAAGTTGAAGTCCTTTGGCCACATCATGAGGAGACAGGAAAGCCTAGAGAAGACAATTATGCTGGGGAAAGTGGAAGGCAAAAGGAAGAGGGGCCGACCAAGGGCAAGATGGATGGATGGCATCCTTGAAGGGACTGGACTGACCTTGAAGGAGCTGGGGGTGGTAACGGCCGACAGGGAGCTCTGGCGTGGGCTGGTCCATGAGGTCACGAAGAGTCGGAAACGACTGAACGAATGAACAACAACAAAGGAAATGCACAACTAAAGCACAGTATCACAAAGTTAGGCTAGTGCAGTGGTTCTCCACCTGTGGGTCCCTCCCCAGGTGTTTTGATCTACAACTCCCAGAAATCTCTGCCAGTTTACCAGCTGTTAGGATTTCTGGGAGTTGAAGGCCAAAACATCTGGGGACCCATGGGTTGAGAACCACGGAGCTAGTGTTTTATTACTATTACTAGCTGTACCCGCCACTTGTTACTGTGGCCAACCTTCCCTCCCTCTTTGTCTCCTTTCTTTCTTTCCCTCCTTCCTTCCTTCCTTCCATCCATCCATCCTTCCCTCTTTTCTTTGCTTTTTTCCTTCCTTTCTTCCTTCCCTACCTGTTTCTTTCCTTCCTTTCTTCCTTCACTATTTGCTTCTATACTTCCTTCTCTCTTTCCTTCTTTGTTTCTCTTCTACTTTCCTTGGTATCCATGGCAGTTCAAGTGGTATCAAACTGGATTAATTTCACAGTGTGCATGCAAACTCTGTCTCTCTCTTTCTGCAGATCATGTGGAGAGGAAGACGGATAGAGGAGCTGCCGAGCCCAGCGTTTGTGGTGGACCTCGATGTGGCCAAGAGGAACGCCCAACGAATGAGAGAGCGATGCCGGGAATTGGGGGTCACCTTGCGCCCGCACATGAAGACCCACAAAACCCTGTGAATTGTCGTATTTACATATCAATGTCTAGTCAGTAGTTTGTGGTATGGTCTAGTAGAGGGTATATAGCAGGCATGGGCCAACTTGGGCTCTCCCTCCAGGTGTTTTGGACTTCAACTCTCACAATTCCTAACAGCCGGTAGGCTGTTAGGAATGGTGGGAGTTGAAGTCCAAAACACATGGAGGGAGGGCCCAAGTTGGCCCATGCCTGCCATACAATGTAGGTATTCCTACCAGCTGTTAGGAATTGTGGGAGTTGAAGTCCAAACTACCTGGAGGGGGCCCCAAGTTGGCCCATGCTTGTGTTATAAGTATGTTGTCCATGTACTGAAGGAATTCTGGGAGTTGAAGTCCAAAATACTTGGAGGGAGGGCTGGAGTTTGCAACTACCTGTGATAGCAGCTGACCTTGGACGGCCTTATCTATTGACCTTTTGCATCCCAGGGAAGGTGCTCAGCTCATGACGGACGGCACGCATCGCCGGATCGTGGTATCCACTTTGGCCGAAGCCCGGTTCTTTGCCGACGAGGGCGGCTTCGAGGACATCCTCTTTGCGTACCCGCTGCCTTTTGACAAGGTGGAAGAGTGTGCCGCATTGGCGGAGCGCATAGAGGCCTTCCATGTGCTGGTAGACAGTGCAGAGGCTCTGGCGCAACTGAAGCGAAGGCCACTGAGGAAGGGGAAAGACAAGCGCTGGAAAGTGTGGCTCAAGATCGACTGCGAGAATCACAGAGGTATCTATGGAGCGCATTCAACGGTGATGAAATTTGTTCGTGAAAATTTCATTACTAGATTTTCGTTTCTAAATTTCAGTATAGTCATTGCACAAGGGAAAGCTTCAGGGGCTCCTTTCTATTGGCATGGAACATACTAGCTGTACCTGCCACACATTGCTGTGGCCAACCTTCCCTCCCTCTTACTCTTCTCTCCTTCCTCTCTTCCTTCCTTCCTTCCTTCCTTCCTTCCTTCCTTCCTTCCTTCCTTCCCTCCCTCCCTCTTTCCTTCCTTCCTCCCCTCTTTTTTCCCCCTTCTTTCTTCCTTCTCTACCTGTTTCTTTTCTCGTTTTCTTTGCTCTTTGGCTCCATCCTTCCTTGTCTCTTTCCTTCCTTCCCTCTTTTTTTCCCCTTCTCTTTCTCCTTCTCTGTTTCTTTTCTCACTTCCTTTGCTCTTTGGTTCCATCCTTCCTTGTCTCTTTCCTTCCTTCCCTCCCTCTTTCTCTCTTTCGTTCCTTCTCTCCTTCCTTCCCTCTTTCACTTTTTATTTCCTTCTCTCCTTCCTTCCTTCTCTACCTTTCTTTCTTTCCTTCTCTCCTTCCTTCCCTCTTTTTCTTTCCCTTCTTCTTCCTTCCTTCCTTCCCTTTCTCTCCTTCCCTCTTTCTCTCCCTCCTTCTCTCCTTCCTTCCTTCTCTACCCTTCTTTCTTTCCTTCTTTCTCTCCTTCCCTCCTTCTTTCCCTCCTTCTCTCCTTCCTTCCTTCTCTACCCTTCTTTCTTTCTTTCCTTCTCTCCTTCCCTCTTTCTCTCCCTCTTTCTTTCCTTCCTTCCTTCTCTACCCTTCTTTCTTTCCTTCTTTCTCTCCTTCCCTCTTTCTTTCCCTTCTTCTTTCCCTCTTTCTTTCTCTCCCTCCTTCTCTCCTTCCTTCCTTCTCTACCCTTCTTTCTCTCCTTCCCTCCTTCTTTCCCTTCTTTCCCTCTTTCTTTCTCTCCCTCCTTCTCTCCTTTCTTCCTTCCTTCCTTCCTTCCTTCCTTCTCTAACCTTCTTTCTTTCCTTCCTTCTCACCTTCCCTCCTCCTCTCCCTCCTTCTCTTCCTCCTCCCTTCCCCCTTTCTGTGTATGTGTTTTCTGTGTGTATATGCCTATATGTGTGTATATATGTGTGTTTGTGCATATATATGTGGTTTTGCACATGTGTTGTAATATATTTTTGGGGGGTGGCTTTTAAAGTCCCTTCTGCTGTGTTGTTCAGTGTTTTTTATGAGTGATAGTCACTCGTTGGCCTGAGAGGTGTCTTGTGTCCAAATTTGGTGTCAAATTGTCCAGTGGTTTTTGAGTTATGTTAATCCCACAAACTAATATTACATTTTTATTTATATAGACTGGCCACTGTTAGCCCACCAAGTTCCTGCATTGGCAAAGGGTCAGACTAGATTCTCTTTGGGGCTCCCTTACAACTGTATTTGATTCAAGGGCCACAAGCACAAATTCAGTCCATATTTTGCCAATTTAATCCAGGGCATTAAACAATGATATTTAAACCTAGCCACCCCCTGCCACGTGTTGCTGTGGCCCAGTCTGTGTATATGTGTTTTGTGTGTTTATTTATGTGTCTATGTGTATATATGTGGTTTTGTGCATGCATTGTAATGTATTTTTTATTTTATTTTTTGACTTTTTAAGTCTCTTCCGCTGCGTTTTTCAATGTTTTTATGAGTGATGGTTACTTGTTGGCCTGAGAGGTGTCTTGTGTCCAAATTTGGTGTCCATTTGTCCAGTGGTTTTTTAGTTATGTTAATCCCACAAATGAACATTACATTTTTCTGTATCTGCCATGCGTTGCTGTGGCCAACCTTCCCTCCCTCCCTCTTTTTCTCCCTCTATCTTTTTCTCCTTCCTTCCCTCCCTCTTTCCTTCCTTCCCTCTTTTTCTATCCCTTCTTCTTTCTTCCTTCTCTACCTGTTTCTTTTCTCACTTCCTTTGCTCTTTGGTTCCATCCTTCCTTGTCTCCTTCCTCCCTCCCTCCCTCCCTCTTTCT